CTGGTTTTGGAGACTTCACGTGTCACTCTTGGAGGCAGTCTGACGTTTCCTACAAATCGCTCGCAAGGTGTCAAGCAAAAGTGTCTGTGTCACAAAGCCTGAGATATTACTTTTTTTCATTCAAGTTGGTGGGCTTCAAAAGAAAACTGGCAGGACTGGAGCCCCCCTTGCTATGTTTTCCCTTGTTGGTCTTGGGCTCAGCTACCCCAAGTAATACTCTGCCGGCCTTAGAACGCAAGATGCGCTTTAATATCATGTATAATGGCCCCACTTCTACGCCATCCTGCGAGAGAAGGAAAGGAAGGGACAAAAACAATAACGAATGGCAAACAAACAAACAAAACATAAGAAAACACATAGGACATTGAAAAAAAAAACAAACACCAAAGGAAAGCGTGCATACGCAAATGTAGTCCTTTTTTAATTCGGACCCAACTTTGCGGGCATCAAGGGGGGCAGCTCCGCCCTCAGAGGCTTCAGGGTTGGCACAATCGCCGCAGCAAGCTGGTCCCAGCCATCCTAAACCGACACACAGCCATCCTATATTATGTATGTCTCCTTTCTTCCTTTCACGTTCCTTGATGTTCTTTTCTTTTGGTTTCCCTTTTTCAACATCTTTCTTTCGTCTTTATGTGTCGTTTCTTCTCTAGACCGTTACCCTCGACAATACCGCAAAGTTGACGGCCTCTGATGGGATGCTCGGACTTTCAACCTGTGCACGCGGCGGGGCGTTGTCCCTTTTCTTGTTCAAAACTCTTGTTGAAGGCCATCGCTAGTAGGGTGGAGGCCGATGGAGGCCATCGCTAGTAGGGTGGAGGCCTTTTCTTGTCACTCACAGACATACTGTTCTGAGCCTGGACCGGGCCAGACAACTCAGCCTTGCAACGGATAAGCCCAAAGAGCATTTCCAACAGCAGGAAAATTCATGAATTCGATGTACTGTGCATTGTGCATCACTTGTAGGCACAGCCCTATGCCATATGCACTTTGTAGAAACCTCTACCTCGAAGTCAAAGCAAACTCTCAAAGTGTTTCACCGTTGCCGTCCATCCGTCGGCAACAACTTCTTGGGCACACACTACGCAAGTGTAACTCCCCAATGATCACTGAAGAAAAAGCATGTTGTTTTATATCCCGTTTCTCAACTTAGCCACAGTCTGGCTTAAAACGGCCACTGTGATCTGCCCCAAACCACTGCGTTATGGCACACTACAGTATGAAACTCTCCTGGTTGGACCACAGAATCCACCAAACACCGTTTGTCACTCTTCATAAGAAACTTAATAGCAATGGCCTCCACCCTACTAGCAATGGCCTCCAACCTAGAAGCAGGAGTATAAAACACTGTTTAGTTTAGTGTTGCTATGTGTCGCTATTTGGGAGGAGTATAGTTCTTATCGGCCATAACCCCTTCAGCCGAGGCTGCAAGGACTATGTACACTATTCATGGCGGACAAACATGCGACCACTTCTGGATGGCGAGCATGTGGGCAACCACTTCTTGTTATCGACCTCCGACTCTTAGAAGCCAAATCCGGTCTGAACTCGGCGTAAAACCTCCCCCGGCATCCGCCGGCAGCTTGTGGAAGTGAACGGTTTTGGTAGGGCCATGGGCCAAATGTCTACATTCAGATTGGCCCGAGCCAAACTCAGAGGGTCTCAGAGGTGTTAGACCTTCATGTAGACACTCTCTGAAATGAACTAAGTCCAGCCTGGACAACTCCAGATGGCGCACCAGGCGCTTCCCCCTGCCACCAGGTGCTTCGGCAAGTAAAACACCATGCCAAATGACACACAACACTACGCAATCACTGGCCGATGCCTGCAGGGGTGCTGGGCTGGCCGGATAACTGGCCATGGCCTCCAAGCTTGCCAAAAGGGGAATCGGTAGAAGCGATGGCCTCCAACCTAATAGCGATGGCCCCCAACTTACTAGCAATGGCCTCCAAGCTTACTAAAATAAAGGAATCGGTGGAAATATCACAAGCTACCACGGAAATTGCTGCGTACAAGTGCAACAGTACGATCATGCTTTGACGTGCGGTGGTTTGATTCCATTGTGATCATGGTGTTTTGTTGTGCTTTGCACTGATTTGCTATGTTGTCAAAAGGTGAAGGGTGGTGAAGCTATATATTGTGGTGATTTGTGATGTGGTGGCTTGAAATGTGAGGATGCGATGATTTGTGACTTGTTGCCGAAGGAATGGTCCTTTAGTCAAGAAAGCCCATACTTAGCACATGTTCCTCACGAAAACAAAAGGACAATGGACAGCAATCAAACACCAAAGTAGAGCAACGTTGTGACACAAAACATCCCAAAACATATCTGCAGGCGGTGGAGAGAGAGAAGGGAAGGAAGGTGTAGGGCCCAGGGTAAGAAAATGTAGACCAAAAAACTATGCTGCTACTCGTAGCTACCCTAGCTTCTTAGAAGTTACTTGCTCCTCGGACAAATAGGCGAATGGTTCTGGAGGGGCAGGCAAGGGGAGACTCCTTGAAGCATCAAAATGATTCATATTATAGTATTAGATCGTCAGGGAAACATACTGCAATCTTTAGGTTGCAGGACTTGATTCACAACATGTTGAAGCTTCCAGATGTAGTTTGCGCAAAAACAGGCCGCTTGTCGTGCTATGTGTGTGGTGCAAGCAGTCGCGAACAACGGGCCATCCGAAATGCCATCATGCCGTGCACTAGGCACTAGCCAGCACCAATGTGCTTCGAAACCCGTGCAATTGCAATTCCGAATGGAATGTCCAAGCCCGTCTGCCCACGAGCCCGTCTGCAGGGCTAACTTCGCAGCTCCATCCACGCTAAAAACCCGGCGATTGGTGACTTTTGTGCGCCGCCAGTTTCACTTGCAAAACACATCAGATCCATTGCATGTTATTGCATTTTTGCATTGTATTAGCGCGCACCCTACTCACACATCCAGCCAGGTATCTGGCTAGTATTCTATTGCTTCATTCCTCTAAAGTCCTTTCACAATACATACAACATGATCTTTCGCAACAGACCTTCTGACAAGGACAAAGCAACATATACTTCCAACTGGATGGTCGAGAGAACGCCGTGGAACACCCAACATACCGAACGACAGACATACATCACCCTCATGAACATAGAAACCATTGGACGGGCCATAAATGACGTCCAAGCCTGAGTCAATGTCATTTTTGTTTCGACGGACTGTTACGTTTCAACTTGTAACTCCCACCCGCTGTCCTGGTGGAAGACTGCATCAGTCCTGGGCAGCTGCACCTGACAACAGTTGAAGAAAGAGTGGAAACAAAAACGTAAGGTCTCCTTCACATGGCCCTTCTTGTTTCCTATCTATTTTGCATGATTCCCTGGCTGTGGTTCTCTTTTGTTTCTTTGCGTGTGTGGCCTGTCAGCATGTAAACGGAGTGATCAATGAATGCTAGTTCGGAACTGGTGAGCCGTTCTACATGCGGGTGCGGCAATCATCAAATACCCCCTCATGCCACCGAGGACCAGAGTTTAAAAAAAGGAAGACATACCCGAACCACACTACATACCCCAATCACACTGGACGATAAAGCTCTCTCAGTCTTGGACCTAGGACGGAATTTCTATATCATTACCTTCCTGCCTGGAAGCCGGCAAAACTGTCTGCCATGTTGGTGGGCCTGTCATGCACAGTTCTTTAGCAAATGCAATCAATGGCACTTGGCTTCTTCTGAAAAACCCACATGGCGAATTTGTTTTGCTTGCATGGCTTGACCCTTGGCACTTGCAATGCCCAAACAGCATTAGGATTGCAGCCTTGCTGGCTGCCATGGCGGGGGCAAATCCTGGCGTCGAAAAATGTTGTTGCCATCCATCAGTGCATGTAGCAAACAACAACTTCAATACCGCAACGCCTATGCCTATACTGAATTAACGCAAATCACGAGTGGGAAGTTCAGCTCAGTGATCTTTGGGAGCGCTGCTGCTCACAGCTGCAGGAAAGGCGTCCACTTGTGATAATCGCACCAGGAGTGCAAACCATGCACACCAGCAGCAGGCAGTCATGGGCTTCAGTTCGGCAAAAAAGGGACAATGTTGGGTGGCCCTTGCACATAAGTACGAGACTCTCTCTTTTCGCTTTTGTGTCTTCAGTGGTCTTCCTGTAATTCATCCCTTTTCTCCCTAATAGCTCCATCCTCTGTGCTCCCTGGGTTTCTGTTTGCTTACCTTTGTTGCAACTAAAACAAGCAAAACACACGGACCACTTGAACAAAAGAAACGTGCCCCAACGCTGGCATCAGTAAGGGCAAAAGCAGAACGGCAAATTGTCCAGCCTGTTGCAACGGCATGCCCATGTGTCCGTATGAACCTTCGCGGGAAGTTTGAACACGGCGGAGCACTTGTATTCACACGCATCCTGCAATTCCCGCTTAGGGCCCAGACTGGTGGGCATTCCCGGGTTCAATGGCCCAGGTGGCCTTGGCAAGATAGCCAAACGTAACATTGAATCCGCGTCCTTGTTCCTAGTAGTAAGGCCGCGTCCTTGCTCCTAGTAGCGATGCCCTTTGTTACTAGTAGCGTCCCTGTTACTACGTACTTAATCTTAAGGAATAGCAGGCAGTTATAAAGTCCCTGGACACAGACAAACTTAGCGCAACGGGGTAGTGAACGGTAGTAAAGGAAACGCGCGTGTTACTAGTATTCTGGGGCAGTGACACCCAATGAAATCAAATGAACATGTCCATCCCACTCCTCTCTCTCCTACTTTGTCTGCTCCAGGTGTCTGCCCATGGGTGGTTTGTGCCAAACAGAACAACTGGATCGCATTGGCTGGCAAGATGAGACACAAAAAAACAGAACACGCACTTTGTGACAATAATGTTTCGTGGTTTCAATGCATAGAAGTACTTGGTGGTCTCTCAACTTAACACCAGCCAGGCTCAAAATGAATTCGCGGCAGGTATTATACCCTGCCAAAATCAAATCATCTTTGCTAAACGTGTGCAACATTTGATATTTCATGATATAACGTCAAAACCTCAGATACCCAGTCAACATAAGATGACTTGCCAGCCCCGACGGCTACTTGCAAAAAGGGCTGGGCATGGCCTTACCGTGGAATGCATCGCAGCAGTGTGCATTCATGTGCAACCCGGCAAGGATGCAAAAACAAAATTTGCAAGACATGCAATTTGGCCACATTTGTGGCAAACCTGGACCGAATCGACCTCGAATTCAGTGCCCAAAGGTGATGCTCGTTCCAAAGAGCTCTGGACAAAACATGACAAAACATCTCAGTAGCCTTTTCCATGAAGACCTTGGAGGTACTTCAACACAAGTGGTGCAAGAACGATAAGTTGCGATAAAATTGCAAACCAAAAAAAAAGCCGGCAACAACGCAAACTCAGTTCATTTGATGTCTTGCTACTTATACAAGGCGCGATGCATCAGAGTGTTCCACTTCAACTGGAACATCATTGGTTCGTTGCAAAAGCGATGGGCCAAACGGTTGTTCTCAGTGCTTGACGCGCCCGCGCCGCTTCGACGTCTTGCTCGTAGAGGGCCCAGTCGAGTTCGGGATCCATGCATGTGATGTCCTGGATGTGACGTTGGACACAACCTCGACTACTGCATAGACATGATAATGCATAGACATGGGGTTCAATTGATTTAGCCCGTCCTCTACATCAGGAAGCGGCTGAGGTGGGAAGTTGTCGAAATGAGATGCGTCGGCTGCGCTTGTGCATCTGGGTTGGAAGGGAGGGGTCATGGCCTGACGAAAGTGCAACCAACAATTAGAAGCACTATGCGCCACACGATGATATTGCTGCCTAGTAACAACTGAACTATTTCCGGGCAAACTGCAAACTGCAAGGCAGTCATTCACAGATCTTGTGTTTCGGTTTCCAAGTGTTTCTTCGCCTGCAACTCGCTGAAATTGATCCCCTGAAAAAACTCCTCCAGACGACATTCGAAGGTGCTGATGCGACGCTCCACTGGGCATAGGACCTCGCAACATCTTATCACCCGATTTGATCGTAGTAGCGTCCGATCGCTCCGTTCGTAGCGTGCCCCTTTGTTACTAGTAGCGTCCTTGTTACTAGTGCCAGGAGCTACTAGTAGTGCCCTTGCTCCTAGTAGCGATGCCCTGGAAAATGCAAAGAGAACTGGCGTAAAACCAACAGTGACAGGCACAGCCTTGGATTGATGCCTTGCAAAAACCCTCGCAGTCCACTATCCAAACCTAGGGTAATGATAATGTCTCGATCGTTCGAAGTGGGTTTTGGGAGTTTCTGTCTGCCAAGCTCATTCGATACGTTCAATTGTATCCCGATCACAACGGAAGTGTCCGAACCTTTGTTAAAAGGATGTCTGCAATGTCTGCAGCGAATTTGAAGGTACTAGCAATTCTGGCAAGGTGATTCTTGTCACTTGGTAACTATGCTTTCATATCAACGCGACGTGGCTTTGTTCACGCGGAGTCCCACAAACACAGTGATTCTGAACTATCCGTTCCAAATAACTATCATTCATCTACGAGATGCTTTGCTTGCACAAGCAGTTGCAAAAACAACAGAAAGTATTTCCTGCAAGGCATTCCTGTTCGAACCTGTTTGGAGAGCATCGTGCCTTGGAGATGAATTGGGCAGCAGCTAGACACTCTTTGGGATCAGCTCCCAGCTCTCGCTGCTTCTTTTGCATCCGGGTCAGGCGATGTGGCAAATTGGTCCCCTGACAATCGCATCTAAGGCAGTTGAGCATTGTTGAGATTCCTTCAAATCTAAAAAATATTCAAGTGTACCTAGGTTAGAGCCCTTTGACCACCATCCATTTCGTATTGCTTTGCAGAAAGCGAGGCGCGTTGATGATCTGCGTCTTCAGCTCCTGAACACCAAGAAATACAATGCGAGCTTGTGCATTAGCAGGACCACAAGGTGACAGTCTTTATGTTGCTTTCTGAATCGTTTAGCAACACAAAATGCGACACGACACGTCACGACACCTGAAATCTGAGTGCGGCACCTGAAATGCACGGCGCCGATCTTGGGATTGCGAGAAGAATGGCAAGCTGCCCGAGAGGCACTCATACCTGCAGTGGCACGCGTCCACTTCGCGGTTCAGGCGGCACAGGGGGGGGGGAGTTCTGTCCTTCCACGGAAGAAATGCAGGAATACATCAAAGCTATTCAAAGCTGCTTTGGTGGAGTAAGTTTGCAGAGTTATTTTTGTGGGCCTCCTGGCCAGTTGCAGTCAAGCAGCGAGATCACCCCTAATGCCCACAAATCTGATGCAGCGCAGGCTCGCCCGAGAAACATTTCCTCAGCATTCGCTCGCTTGGCTGAGCCATTGGCAAGCCGTCTTTCCACCAGACCAACATTCCAATTGAATTTGTTTAAAGATTCTTAGGTTGGAGGCCATCGCTAGTAGGTTGGATGGAGGCCATATCGCTCTTAGGTTGGCGGCCATATGAGGCCATCGCTATTACTTTGTCTAAAGATTTTTTCCTGAGTGCAAAAACCGCCCAGGCGGACGGGGAGCTGGCGCCATGTACTGCGGAGTCCCACATGCTGTCCGCAAAGCATCCCGACCTGTTCGAGCTAAATGGTCTTCGACCCCACGCCACTAGAAGGCGACTGCACAAGAAGAATTCCATTTGTTCCTTCAGCCTTTCTTGATTTCTAGCTATCTTCCTTCTTGCTTTTTGTCTTTCTTTTGTTCATTCCTTTTCTACGTAATTAATTGTTTTTGTTAAATCTTCTAATGGAAAAAGGCATAGCTTCAAGATTTAAAGCAACGAAGGCAAAAAACTAATAATATATAAATCAAAAGTTTCAGAAAATACAGCAAAAAGTCATTTAAAAGAAAAAAACACACACACAAATCATTTGGCCCAGAGCCGACTCTTTTTTGACTGTCTGTTGGTTTTTTCGATATGCTTTTCGATTTTGACATCATGTTTTGACATTTGTCCGAATTTTTAAAAATACATATTTCCCTTTGACTATTTTTGACTTTGACTTTTCCATATGATTTGTTTTTGACGTTTATTTGACATTGCTTTTAAACAGGCTGTCCTGGCCTTACCATATGAAAGTTGTTTTTAAAAAACATATATATATATACAGTATATTGTAGTTGTTGCCATTCCTTGAAAAACAGCACTTTCTTCAAGGCCTTTGGGCCTGGAATGCCGTACCTCTTATTTCCTCTTTCTGCTTGAAAACGAGCCTTTCTATTGCGGCACTGATTCTACGTCGGAAGTCCATGCATCGCTGACTTTGCCGCGCCACTACCCCAGGTTACTCGAAACAGGAAATTGACCCTAGTAGTGTCCTCTTCTTCCTAGTAGTACGGCCAGGAGCGATCCTATACGAATGCAGCTTCTTTCACGGCTTGGGCTTTGGACTGAATTACTGTGACGGCCCCTCCTACTCTTCCAGTGCCAGAACCTGCATTTGCAAGGTATGACTGGCTGTCCAAATGTGCTCTAGTGTCACTAGCTCCAGCATCCATGATTTCAGGCCATGGTGCGCAGTGCGAGAGAATTGCATCCGTGGAATGGATGTGCTAATTATCTGGTCCATGTACACCATGTGTTGGCCTAGCTGGAGGCATCTTACAGCTGCAGAACAATACATGCCCAACACAGCACCTGGTTTCTCTTGGAATGCAGGTGGCAAGCCCTGATAGCTGTTGTCTTGATCGATTTGCTGGACATATTCCTGCGCAACGGAATTCAACACCAAGACGACCATCGGAAATCCATCGAATTGGCCAGCGTTTCTGGCCCCAATCCCAGTCCTCAAAGTCCACAGGAGTGCAAAGCCCAAAATCCAAAAGCTTCAAATGCCCTTGCGCTGTGAGGACCAGGTTGTCTGGCTTTAGGTCACCTTGGCCGTGCAGAAGGCATCATGCGTCACGTCATTCTCACGAAATGGAAATTAGTGTCTGTAAAATAAGTGCGAGTATACCTGTTGTTTCCAAGAACGGAGACTCTTGAGTCCTCTCCGCTGAAAATGGTCTGCAAAATTGAGTCACGGTGGATAAAGCCACACTGGTGGATGGCATCAATGGCTTGGACAAGCTCTCCCATGTAGAACCTGGTTTCCGCAAGCGACAATCTGTTCTTCTTCTCCATGTACGCGAAGAAGTCACCGCCTGAACAGATGCACCGCCAACACCCGCAGCAGAGACGTCATGAAGCGTCAATAAGAACCTATAGGTAAGGAGCCCCGTTCGTAGCGTCCTTGCTCCTAGTAGTAAGGTAAGGAGCCCCTAGTAGCTTCTTGTTCCTAGTGGGGATGCCAGGAGCCCCTAGTTCACTAAAGACTGCGATATGCATTTGCAACCAAGGTTGAAGTTTCCGAGCCCGAGCTTCCTAGTAAAGGCCTGTCTCTTAAAGTGATAATTGTTTACCGACTGTTACAAGTTACAAGTAATGGGACAAAGCAAGAATATAGGAACACATTTCGCAAAGTAGCAGCCTTGCATGAACTCCATCACCAAGTACAGGTTGGAGGAGTCTTGGAAGGTGCAAAGCAAGTCGACAAACCAAAGCCCAAATCCCTTTGCCATCGCATCGCGTTCGTTGTATGCCTCATGCTGGGCTTACGCTCGTTGCCAAAGACTAACCACCACCAAACTGGAGATTCTCCATACTAGCGATGGCCTCCAACCTACTAGCAATGTATCTGCTCAATTCAGTTACATGCACAAAAGACTGGGACAAAGGCAGTTCCACGTTCAGCCAGAGTGCCTTCATCCGATTCTTGTTTCGGTAGTGCTCCTTTCTGATCTGCTTTAAGGCATAGACTTCCTCCGTCCCTTGACGTCGTACCAAATGTACTACGCCGAATGAACCCTTGCCCAACACCTTCAATGAGCTGAAGTCCTGGGCTTCGGCCAAACACAAACATACTAAGGCATCCTTGAAGAGGGTCCCCTTTAAAGGAGCCTTTCTGATCGGTTTACCGTCTTTCCCCAAAAAAAACATCACAAGAAAGCAGCACTCGCTGTGAGTTCAACATTCAACATCGAGAGCACGACATGCGCAACGAGCCCTCCTTGATTGACCACATCCTCAGAGGCAGCCGAACAAAGAAGAACGTCTATTGATCATGGCTGGGCAATGGATCCGACCAAAACCATAGACTTCCTCAAACGCCTTCAAACACCATGTGTAGGATACTCTAAACCACACACATCAAATTCATCAAATATACTATTGTAAGCGCGGGCATCTCTACAAACACATGCAATCGCGTGTTTCCTGTGGTCAAATGTGTCTGGAAGTACGTCTCTGCATGTATGCAGCCTGCATATACCAACAACATTAAATGTCCTGCCTTCACCTTGCTTTTGAAAGCATCCCGCCTCAAGTAGGCACGCTTGCGCTCCTTCGCTGCTTCGATCTGCTCGTCTCGGGCACGTTGCCAGTCAGCAGGATGCTCCATGCTGTCTTCTACCTGTCCTCAACTCATTGCGATGCAAACAGCAATTGCTCAGCAAGCAGCCTGCAGATATACCTTAACATGGATTACCAACCTTCCTTCTGGCCTTCCTCACTTACAGCCTTTATCCCAAAAGGATTTCAGAGCTGTGCAAATCAGCAAAAAGGTCACAGCAAGACTCTACCTGTCATGTAGGTGCACCGTCATTTCGACTGTTTTGCCCCACAGGGGGCAGGTACTCAACACAATTATATTGAGACTGAAGCTCCAAAGCTTCGACACTTTCAAGTTTCACCTCTGTTACCTTCTCGTCCAAGAAGCGCCCCTTAGCTTTTAATACTTCTTCGGCCCGCATTTCGCATTGAAGCTCTTGATCCAATCTCTCTTTCAATTGACAATGCCTAGCAAAAGGAACAGAATGAGACAGGGATGCGCCGGGATGGTCGAACGGAGTTGGAGGCCATCGCTAGTAGGGTTGGAGGCCATGAAGCTAGTGGAACCGAACCACAGAGCCGTCCAGCCTGTCGAAGAACTTCTTCCGGGTTTCCTTTTTCTCCTGGAAGGTCAACAGCGTGATTGGCCAAGCCGAGATGCTAGTCCGTGCATCATGTAGAAATTGAATCCAAAAGAATTAGAATCCGAAGTTGCGCCTGCTCACGAAGTTGGTGGGAGTCCAAACCTGTGCGGGAGCTTCACGTAGAAATGCAAACAAGCTGGACAAGGTACTCTGCATTTGTGTCTAGCGGCTGTCATCGGTGCGGCCAGGAATGGGCAAGGAAACTGGACTTGACATCTTACCTTTGGGAATGGATTAAGCTGCAAATGGCTGCAGGTCAAAGCTATCCAGCAAGGCAACACTTCTTGTACATTTGCCCGCATCGACAATGCTCCTGGGCGCGAGCAATGAGAAGGAACCGAGCTGTGGTGCTTGTGACCAGGCGCCTCGTGCCACTCAAAAAAAGCTTTGGGAATCTAAACTGAAACGTATCATGAGCCCATTTGTCATGGACGCGCATTCTTCAGCGGCACCTGGAATGGTTTCAGAAATGATTCAAGCGTGCCAGGCCTGAAAAGCTTTCCTGGGACGGTATGCATGGGGCAGCCTCAGCGTCTATGTGCACGTAACGAGGGCACCATGACAAGCTGGCATCACATAAAGGAATCACAGCAAGGACACTACTAAGGGCTCCTGGCCTTACTACTAGGAACAAGAAGCTACTAGGAGCAAAGGGCATCGCTACTAGGAGCAAGGACGCTACTAGTAGCTCCTGGCCTTACTACTAGCAACAAGAACACAAGCCAAAAACTAGACTCACATGACCTGAGGGTGTGCCTGCATTGAGAAACTGCCCAACGGCGAAGCTGGGTCCTGGTTTGCCAACATCTCACTGCCGCCACATTAACCGTGAAAGTGGCCTCCTGACCAGTTAGAGGGCTATAGCGGAACGACCTCAGTTTGTCTTTGAAGCGACGTCAACTCGGACAGCCACTGGGCTTGGCCCAAAACACCTCAAGATTCTCAAGGCGCCCACTCTTGGCGCAATGGAGCTAGCCCCATGCCAAAACCCTGCACACCATTCAACATTTGCATTCAAGTCTGTGTCATGCTGAAGGGCAAGGTTTGTGATGAGTTTCTCCATGAATATGTTGACCACACTGTGCCTGCCCAATTTGTGGGAAAAGCCACAATGGAGCACGACCACAACCGGCGTCATTAGCACCAGCAAAGTCAGCCTTTGGTCCAACAGAAAGTGCTCATTAAAAAAACAAAGCAAGCTGTGCACGTTTCGCTCCTATGAACCGCGGTCAACCTGTGTCGAAAGGATGCAAGCTTGCGCAGGTGTTTGCGGAATCCTTACGCGCCCCTGGTTTTAGCGCAACAAAACCTGTTGGGAGCTTACGGGGCTCATGCGAAACGAAAACTTCAACCACGCCACAGCAGCTTACGTGCAAGTTGTTGCTCGCGCAACATGTGATTGTTTGTGAACAGTTCCATTCATGATTCCATATGATTCCTACCTATTATTTATTTGCTTACGCGCCTCGATATGAAGTAATTAACGCCTTAACGTCGGGCTTACGCCCGGAGCCTGCGTACGCAGTGCTTTCCAAACTGTCATATTGCTCACGCGCAGGATCCGCAGGATCTCGCAGGGAAGTTTATTTGGCTTAGGGCTTACGCGAGAGTCTTATGACACAACTCTTTCATCATCTTTCATCTCATGACTTAAAGGTGTTGACCCGTTGCTCCGTTGCTCAACTGAACGAAGTGCTTGAGAATGCACAAACTATACCAACGACCACCCTTAAAGTCTGTTTCTTGCCAAGCCATGGAGCAGTCCGGAAATTTCCGGTCTCAGTTTTCAAGCCGCACGCGCGCCGGCATCTCCCGCCCCACGCCCTCACATGCCCTCATGTCACTCAGAAATGCTCAGAACCCCAATAGCCCAGGGGAGGTCTGAGCTACTTCGCCTGGAACATCAGTTCCCTGCGCCTATTTCTTCAAGCCAACACAAGGACACAACATGTCGCGACACACTTAGCAAAAATGGCCTTGCAGCAAACGACGAACCAATGGCTGCAGCCCTGGTGCACTGTCCTGCTTGTGCTCCCCAAACATCAGCCAGTCCGGCATCCCCTCTGCAAAACCAAGCATAGCAGCAATAGCATAGCAGTAGTTGGCAGCCGCAGGCAAAGCAGCAAATTCCCTGCACTCCGGTCGCGCGCCTTGCTCCGCACATATTGTGCCAGGGATGATGCGGAACACGCGCTGCGGGCGCGCTGCTGCAGATTTTTCGGCACGACTAGTTGACGAGTTTTTCTCCGTGTTTTTCTATGTCATGGGGGGGGGGCCATCGCTAGAAGCTGCCCTGATGGCTTCGGTCGCCCGTTTGGACTTTGCACACGTTCTGGACCTGCGAGTTTCGCAGTGCGCGACATTTCTCAACGTCATTCACAACACCTCACCGCAGTTGCCACTGCAGTTGGCAGTAGGATTTGGGTGTTGGGAGTTTTCGAGCACTCTGCGCTACCACTCAACACTGCCTTAAACAACAGATGTGTACATACGACAAGAATATGGAAAACTAACATGGTCTTCAGCTGATTGATGGTGCAAACCAACACCTACAGCACAAACAAGCTTAAGCCGCCTTCTGGGGGGAAGTTGCTTTCTTATGCATACCCACCCTTACGATAAGGTCCTCGCTCAACAAAAACTGGAGGGTTAGTTATAACATTGCTGAATTTTGATCCCATTCCAGAACAGTCATGGACTAACTTCGAGGCAACCAAGCCTTGCCACTGGACAAGATTTGATCGGCAAGCACATCCTTGCGGGACACGTCCGCTGGTATGCACCACCGACTAGACCACAGAACGTTACGCCGTGGAGGGGTGTGCGTGTCTGCGTTCCAGGGTGTGTGTCTTGCAGCAATCATATCATTAGACAACAGCAAAAGAAAACTGTTGTTGGCACTTATTGTGAACTGTGCAACAATATTATTATGTTGATTCTTCCAAGAATTTGGAACTGTTGGACTTTGAGTTTGTGGGATGAGTCTATGCTGTTTGTGTGGACAGTGAAGATTGTGGGGTGGCAGGACCAACGGGGATCCATCCCAAAAGCTGTGTGAAAAGAGGCCAGAACACAAAAAAAATAGAGTTTTGTTTGCCCACTGTTTGAGTGTGACTCCAGACCTCCTCTTCGATCAACCCTGCTGTAAACCCACTGATATGTTACCCATTCGCTGTGGCATGAGATCTACCAACATAAAACCGATAAAACCTACAACTACGACTCAGTTGGAATTGCGTGAGAGCCATCTCACGTAGAGGTATAATTATATAATTAGTTTTGAAAGGGGCCTGATAAACTCTAGTGAAAGGGGAGCAGACTCGCTATTAGGTTGGAGGCCATTGCTAGTAGGGGGAGGCCATACTCCATATATTGAAGTCCCGTGGCCGTGTGGCAACGAGCTGTAGCTACCTGAGGCCTATGTCCAAAAAACACACATCTCAAACCAACACTTCAAGGGGCATGGCATAGCATTACAAACAATCAACGAAACGTAACCTACTACAGCTTTGCATAGTGATTCTCTGGCATCTCATCTCGATCGGTTTCATGGTCGATCTCTCACCAAAACGTTCCGATATAAAACTCTGGCCTTTGGCTTGCCCGATGGGGACCCATTGGCGCTCGACCTCAAATGGGAACAAACATGCACAAGGTACTGGACGCATCTGGACGCACGCGGCACTTGCACAAGATACCCCCCCCCTTCCCGACCCCTCTTTCACGCCAACGGCCCTTCCTATTTCTCCGCGCATCACGGTCGCTGGTGGTCTGCGTCTCTGGTGCTTCGCTCATTCTTGCTTGGAAAACAGAGCTCTGGCGTCGAAAAGGGGCTGCGCACCGGCCTCCGCCGTGGTTTTGCTTCCTGAGGCGTCATCCAACACTGACATGGAGTCGGGCTCCAAGCCTCGGTACGAAGCAACCCTTACTTCATTAAGTAGGCAGTATGGCGCCCACTTGATTAAGTTAAGGGACTATATATAGTAAGCTACTAGACTAAGTTAGCAGTCTAGGTAGGACGCAGGATAGCTCACACTTCTTCAAGGAGCTTCCTTGAAGAAGCGCTGGCACTATTCATTTGGTTCCTAGATTCTTTCGCTTAAGCTACGCAACTGAAGCTACGCATCATTTTTCTGCGTATTGATTGGACAAAAAGAACCAAGTCTCTCGCTCCATGCTTTTCACATGTTCTTCGTCATCACATGACATGGACCCATGGACATCTCTTTCTGCCCAGCCTCGTGTGGTTCCAGGAGGCTTCATGAAGTCCATCATCTGGACATTCATCTCTGAGCCCCATTCAGCCTGAGAGGCACTAGGAGCAAAGGGCATCGCTACTAGTAGCTCCTGGCATCGCTACTAGTAACAAAAGGACGCTACTAGTAGCTCCTGGCCTTACTACTAGCAGCATTCTTCCCATTCAGCCTCAAAGTCGGTTTTTCTTTCATCCATTGAGCCTCATCGTTCTTTCATGGAATCCATTGGGACCTCCAGAACCGCTCCAGTCAGAGACTCTCTCGCTGCCCAAGGGGCAAAGCGCTCCACCGGGTTCTTCTCCGAGTCTTTGGCCACACGTGGCATATCCACATCGAAGCTTTCAGTGGACCCAAGCCCATCGCCAGCCGCGCAATCATCCTCAACAGCATGGGATAGCATGGGTATGACGGTAGCAAGTAACAACAGCAACAACCAACGTAAGCAGCATGTTTCAAAACATGTATCCAAATACAGTAAGCGAAACATCATTGCAAGCTTCCTGACACCTCTGCCGGCAATAGGCCACATTCTTATCATTTCGTTCACCTGTCAGTGCTGTTGTTCCAAAGCCACCCAAACAAGCATCCAAAAAATCAGTCAAGACATATCAGGCCTACGATTGCAAGACATTCCTTAGATCCGGAGCTCAAGAACATCGACAGCTCTGTCACAAAGGCACAGGAACCAAACGAATAGTTCTTTATAGCCCGTGGCCCTGCCTCCTGTCTCAATTAAGTAGGCGCCTTAATTAAGTAAGGTACTGGACACCCCTAGCTACTAGGACGCTACCTAGGACGCTGGATAGCCCACGCTAATCATTCGGTTCCTAGATTTTTAGCGAAACTTGTCTATTATGCGCCCTAGCTAGTCGCAGATTAGTTTGTTTTAAGTAGCCGCCTACTTATATAATTAAGTGAGGGCAGCCAATTTCTCTGAGGGTCCATGTTGCAGGTGCGCTCACATGGTGGCACGACTTTCTGCCCAGTCTTTGGATCGTAGACTTCCTGATCTTTGTCGCGAATAAGCCTAGCAGCCTGA